CCTTTTAGTGTGGACTACATAGATTGTATCCTCTGCCCCTTAGACTTCATATGCATTTGCAAAGAACAAGGAGATTATCTCATGGTACAATTATAAAATTCAAAAAACTTAACATTGATATAATCCCAATTTTGGCAATATACTCAAAAATGTCCTTTATGGCATTCTATTCCCCTATATAGGATCCAGTCCAGGATCTTGTAGTACCTTTGTTGTCACATCTCTTTAATCTCCTTCATTCTGGAACAATTTCCCAGGCTTGGTCTTTCATAGAGCTGACATTTTTGAACAATACAGGCCAGTTTGTTTTTGTTTTTAAATAGAATGTTCCACAATTTGAGTTGGTCTGATTCCTTGTGATTAGTTTCAGGTTTTCCATCCCTGCCTGGAATTCAACATAAGTGATGCTATGTTCTTCGCGGGGTATCACATCAGCAAGCACATGATATCCATCTACCCCTTGCCAGTGATCAAATTTTGATCTCCTGGTCATGAAGTAGATTCTGCCCTGTGTGGATACATTTCCTCTTGCAACTAATAAGCAATCAGTGAAGAGACACTTTGAGATCATGCAAATTGCTTGCTCCTCAAACTTTCTCCTCCAGATGTCAGCATCCATTGCTTCTTGCCCTAACTAATCTTTACCATCACGGTTGCAACTCACTCTTTATTTGTTCCCCAAAACAGTGGAGTCCTTTCTTCTCCACTGATAGAGGTATCTATCTGTCAGTGTAGACTCGTAGATTCCTATTTTATTCCATAATTATAATCCACTACTGTCCTCAATTTCGAAGCTCTTGTGGTCTCAGATTACGGTCATTTCTTTGTAGCCATGGAGGGCAGAACTAGTACTTACAAGGAGATACTACCAAGGGCTGGGGGGCAGAGTTTGACCTAGTGAAAGAAAATCTTTGGAAGGATTCTAACTCTCCATCATTAGAACTAGCTGATGGGGGTGGGTGGGGGAGTAATAAGCTGCCTGTCACAGACAGTATTTAACAGTCTGTTGACTGTTCTTCATAAAAGAAATTCAAGCATCAGGTTGGGGCTTTAGAGGTCCCTTCCAAACCTTGAGACCTGCAACAAGAATCCTGGAAAGGAGGAGTGTGTGACATCCAGTTTAGAGGCATGTTCAGAAAAGTAGAAACTGCAGAGAAGGGCACACATCCAGGCCACCTGTGGGAAACAATCCAACCAGGCCTGCAGAAGCAGGAGCTGCAGTGAATCAAAGTCTAATCCCTGATCCTCTCGGGTTTTCTTGAACATCACTGCTCACCAGCCACCACGTTAAATGCTCTATATGAGCCAGAAAGACAACTCAGACCCAGGCCCAATACAGAAGCCAGTGGAATGATAGAGGAGGGTCCCTCCAGCTCTGTGTGGGGGAGCTAGGAAAGATATGGACTTTTCCAGATGAATGGAGGCTCACCAGCCAAAGAACAACTGAAACACTAGAATTCTGTCCAGCACATGATGGATTCCAATTCTGGGAAAATTTTAGATAGACCAATAGAAACACACACACATATATATGCGTATGTTAAATACATGTACACGTACAAATGTACCTTTTTACATTTTACTTTAAAGGACACACGTGTGGAAGAAAGCATGGACTTCAGAGTAAAGCATACAATTGGTCAGTAGTTCGACAGCCTGGTCAGAAACGTTGCTCCCTCTCCCTCACCAAGAGATCTGTATTCACGAGCTTCACTAAGATTAAATGCTCTGAACTGGCTGACAAACAATCTAGAGAAGAAGTCACACAGGACTCCTGAGTGTCACTACCTTTTCAGCTCATTTTCTGGGTCTCTGTTCTCCACAATCAGAGCAGAGGGTGTGAGCCCAGCACAGTCAAGGGCAGAGGTAGAGGTGCTAACACCTGCCTTTACTTGTAGAGTCCCCAGCAGGAGCAAGCTTCTCTTGGAGGGCTGAAGGAAGGCAAGTTGGGAGCCTCAGGGGCAGTCAGGCACCGGTACTAACTTGAGGCCCTGCTATCACTCCAGTAGCTCAGGCCCAGAGAAGCTACTGTCTAGGGAGGTTCATGTCCTCCAAACAGATTCAGGGAAGCATCCCCCTGAGCAAGGATAAAAACTGTACTAGCTTATATTCTATAGCACTGTGCTTAGTAAATTCATGATATACATGCTACCATTCATCTATTCTGAGCCCATGACAGAACGAATTTATCATGATACACTGTAACGTGGATACCAACGTCACCCTCATACTCATATATTTCTAGAAAGTAGCTACCGAGTGTTATCGGAGAACACTTTACTTTCCAAACATAGGTCATGTTTGCTACCTACATTGCATTTCCTAAGACTGCCACAAAATTCAGGGCGTGCCCATTTTAAAGACAGGGAAACAGAGGCAGCAGAGGAAAGGGACACTGAGGTCCCACGGTTGGGAGCAATGAAGCTGGCATAAAAGCAAGGCCTCTCGGTTCCATCCTTTCCCACTTGCTCTCTTGCTCCCAGTGCTGAAAGCTGAGAAGGTCCTGGTAGAAATACTACACAGCCCCAAGATTCAGCCATAGTGGTACCTCATGTGACATGCTGATGTAGAGATCAAAACTCAGCTCAAGTCCAAGTGCTATCTTCTGTGAAGACCTTAGCAAGAAGATACTACTCCTTCTTCCAAGGTTACAGGCCTTACACAATTGTCTCTTTATTCCTAGCTTGGAGCACAATGCTGGCACACAGTCAGCGCTCAGCAAATGGTTACTGAACTAAAGTGAATGGAGCCAGATCCTTGCACTGGGTTCTGTGTCTCTGGATTGACAGAGGGTATAATAGAGCAGGGCAAAGAACATAGGTTTTAGAAGCAAACTAACCCAAAACAGAATCCCCTCCAGACTAGTTGTGTGATAATGAGGTACTGAGAACACACTGAGCCTCAGTTTCTGCAGGTGTAAAATGGGGTGAATATCCCCTACTTCATAAGGATGCTGAGGAAATGGAGAGAAATTCGTAAGATTGGCAGGAGTGACAAAGAGCAGGAGGAAGAGAAATCGGTTCCAGTCCAAGATGACTACATAGGCCGTAGGAAGGGGCAGAGGGTGGAGTAGGCATAATGGGGAAGGGGAGTGGGAGACACGGGCTTCTAGTCACAGAATGAATCAGTCACAAGCACAGGGAATTTAGTCAATGGTACTGTAAGAGTGTTGCATGGCAACAGATGGAGGCTACCTTTACGGTGAGCATTTAGCATAATGTATAGAGTTGTTGGGTCACTATGTTGTACACCTGAAACTAATGTAACACTGGGTCTCAACCATACTCAGAAAAGTTTGAGAAAAAAAGTGGGAGGAGGAAGGGGATGAAAAGGAAGAAGCATAGCAGACAGACTTCTAGGTCACCCCCAATGATCTTCCCACTTAACTTCAAACCCTTGTACAATCCCCTCCTGTGGGGTGTGACAGAACCTAGGATCTGCTTCTAACCAACAATACAAGGCAAAAGTGATGGGATGTCACTCCCACAATGTTACATTGCAGAAGATTACAACTTGCTAGCCAAGTTGCTCTAGAAACTTTCTCCCTTGCTGGCATTGAAGAAATCAATCCAAGCAACCACACTGGGAGACCCACACAGCAAGGAGTGGAGAGGGGCTTCTAAAGGCGAAGCCCTCCAGCCAACAGTCAGTAAGAAATCAGGACTCACCTCCTCTACCTGCAAGGAAATGAATCTGCCAACACCAAGTGAACCTGGCCCCCTCCCCAGTCAAGCCTCCACATGAGGACTCAGCCCGGGCCAACATCTTGACTGCAGCCCTGCAGAGATACCAGCTGAGTCAGGCCTATACTTCCCACACCCAGAAACCATGAGATAATACACACATGGCAATGTGTTACACAGCAGTAGACAACTAACACACGGCAGGAAGGAAGAAGGGGAACCAGTGCAAGCCAGTCTTAAGAAATCAATCTTAGGGGGCGCCTGGGTGGCTCAGTCAAAGCCTCTGCCTTTGGCTCAGGTCCCGATCCCAGGGTCCTGGGATCGCATCGGGCTCCCCGCTCAGTGGGGAGTCTGCTTCTCCATCTCCTACTCCCCCTGCTTGTGTGCCCTCTCTCACTGTCTATCAAATACATAAAAAATTTAAAAAATTTAAAAAATCAATCTTAGGATAGCAGGGGTGCTTGTAACTGAGTGGCAGCATCAGTCCAAAAGTTCCCAGCTAAGGCCAACTTGCCTGTGTTTTCAGGTACAATCTCCGCAGATGTGAGCGGAGCTACGACTACACTTTTATAGCCACTCTTCTCAGACTTGAAAGATAAGCAAATTTCCCACAACAACGCATACCCAAGGGGCTTCTGTCCTTATGCCTCTTCCTTTGGCATGAGGCAGCCACCGAATCACAATCAGCCTAATGGCATCTAACTGACCTCCTGCCTCCTCAGCCCGAGTTCTCAGGCAGGGCTGCGGGGGGGCACTTCCAGTCAGGCTGGAGGCTCAAGGCAGGGCTGTGCCCACCTGCCTTCCCGGGATGAACCCGCTCTTCCTGGCATGCAGCCCCAGCTCCCTTCCCCCCAGTATTAAAACCAGAACCAACCCTCTGCACAGCTTGATCCTTTGCCTTCTCAGACCCAATTAGAGTTGGCAGGACTAAACCAGTCTTGTGGTACCTTTTGTTTGTTTGTTTTTGGTAAATATTTCCAAAAAAAACCCAAAAAAAGGACCCACCGGGGGGGTGGGGGGTGGGGGGGGAGAACCAGAAAGAGAGGGGGCAAGGGGCAGAGAGCCGTCCTCAGACCACCAGGACCCCCTCCAGCCCTCCTTCTCTGAGCATCAAGCGGGTCATCGTAGCAGGGAAATCAAGCTGGTACCCGCGCTTCCCCAAGCACGACACGTTATCAAGTGAATTGTTCACACGTGTGACAGAAACACTGTATTCTTCTGGGAGATTTCGGTGTTCCATGCCCCTTGTCCAGCTCGTCCCCTTCCGGGTCTCCCCCACTGTAAGTCCTCAATCCCCAACATAAAACCCGCTCTTACCCACAACCTGGATAATCTGAGCCAGGAGGACGCCGTCCGTCACATCTTGCTGGAGGTCCTTGATGAGACGTTTGTGGCCCGATTTGGCTAAATAGTGATTGGCCCAGTCCGTATAGATCTGCAAAAAAGCAAAGCGACAACTTGAGGAACCTACTCAGACCCTGTCCCCGAGTCAGAGGCAGCTGCTGGGGCCTGCGTAGCAGCCACCGTCCCCGCCAGCACGCCGTCCTGGGCCAGCCGCAGCCATTAACATGCAGAGCCTTGTGCGGAGGGGCCTTTCAGCTACCCAGAGCGGGGCTTTTGCCTATTGAGAGATCTGCCATCGAGGCGCGGGGAAAAGCTAAAGAAAGCTTCAAAGCATGCAAAGGCCTGAATGGGACGGGGACACAGAACTAAACAGTCTGCTCCAGACAGCTTTGAGAGGCGGTGGCTCTAAATGCAAGAGAAGCCTCCCCCTACCCCGCCGCTGCCACCCCACCCCTTCCCATCTTTTTTCTCTTTATTGAGAAAACGTATGGGGAGGTTACCACCCAACAGGCATCTTTTAATGGGCCATTTCAGGGTAAGGAGGGCTATTGAGTTAGCGAAGCTCTCAGGAGCCTGGGTGCCTTGTAAAGAAGCCAAGTACGCCAACACAGAGCCCTTCAATTACTCGTGTGTGAGTGGTGTTATTGACCACCTTGCAATCAGCTCAGATGTAATTGGTTTAATTTAAAAGCCTCATTTCCACTGTTGGGATTCTGTGACTAATAATAATTTTAAAAAAACCCAGCAAATTCCAACATATTTAAACACAGCATTGGTGTGCACAGCAGCTGAAAGGCAGGGGCTGGGTCACCCATAGGATCAGGAAAACAGACCCCCCCCGCCTCTGTCCCAAGAGAATCTTTTCTTTCAAAACAGGCCTATAAGCACAAGAAAACTCACCTGAAAACTTTCTCCCTGAAATAAGCCAAATAACAAGCAAAATTAGAAACCTCACCAATTTTGAGTGCTGGGTTCCACGACAGATTTGCGAGTCTGTGGAGGGACATGTAGACCCCATATATCGGCACCTTTCTCCCCCCTGCAGTGATATGAACAAGTGATGGCTCAAAGAGAATACTCCACCTCGACTGGTCCATATATTAGTAGCGACAAGTTCATATACTAAGTCATATGAGGTCTCCAGCAGGTGCGCTCTGAGATCTTGTGTGTGACTCCCAGAGCAGTGGGAGCCCTACCCTCGCCCCGGCTCTCCTCCACTCTGTGCTTCCAACAGGCCCAGAGTAATCTCACACAATGGGGCACTGCCCCTCGAGGCTCAGAGAATGGGGACAGCAGGCCAGGGTCTGGACTCACAAAGTAGGACCCTTCTGGGACGCTGCACCCCTGGCTACGCCACCTGGGACAGTGAGAGCCTCCTCCCAAGATGGGGGAAGGGAGAGCTGCACTTCCTACTTCATCAAGAGCTGAGAACAGACAGCCCCATCTCCTCCCAGCCCCAACGTCGAATCTTGGTCTTCCACTGCAGAGACACAGCCAAAGAGGCACACCGCAGGATGGGGCTATTCCACACTGCGCTCCAAGGTATCTAATCCTTAAATCCATGTTACTTGCCTCCCTAGGATTCCCAAGCACAATCATTTTCAATTTTGTAAGCACTGAGAAAGCTAAGGAAGTGGGGCACCATCTTGGTCATTAAATGGCCAATCCTAAATGTTAAGGATCATTAAATTAAATTGTTAAGAGGGAGAAAAAAAAACATTAAAAGGAAACAAGGCAGACCCGGGTTCAAGCCCCAGTTCTGCAGTTTCCATAGGGTAGGGATTTGGATCTGTTTTGTTCTATGATGTATCCAAGGTGACCACAGCATTAGCATATTAGTTCTCGATATATATCTGTGGGTGAATGGATGCAGGACTTCAGGCAAGCTATTTAACGTCACTGAGGCTAGTTTTTCTTATCTGTGAAATGGGATCAATACCACCTACTTGTCAGTTTTATGAGGACTGAGTGATAAGACATTAGAAAAACAAGGCGGGGGCATCTGGGTGGCTTAGTCAGTTGAGTGCCTGACGTGATTTCGGCTCAGGTCATGATCTCAGGGTTGTGGGATTGAGCCCCAGGTCAGGCTCTGTGCTCAGTCTGCTTCTCTCTCTCCCTCTGCTCCTTTCCCCCCAAATGAATAAATAAAATCTTAAAAAAAAAAAAAAAAACACTGAAAAAAATGGCCTTAGGCAGAGTAGGAACTTAATAAATAACCAACATATAGTGCTGACTACATGCCAGACACTGGTATAAACATTTTGCACATATTTGTTCATCTAATCCTCATTCTATGAGGTAAATGTTATTATTTGTCTATTTTTTCAGAGGAGAAATTTTGAAATGTAGAGAGGTAAAGTAGTAACTTGTCCAAGACCATAAGTAAGTGGCAGAGCCAGGATTTGAACCCATTTGGGCTCTGGAATCCCTCAGATATTCTACCATGCTGCTTCTCTGAATACAAATACAAAAGTTATTCAAATCATTTCCCTCCTCCATGATACCCTCCTATGGATTCTAGGCTCATTCTTCTATTCCGTTACGTTCTCACTGAAAGATTTTAAAAATAAATAAAAACCCCAAACCTAGTTCTATCCCTTGCTGCCTGAATGCCCTTGGGCAAGTTACTCAACTTTTGTGAGCTCCAATTTATTCAGCCATAAAATGGGCATAAGGCCTACTTCAGAAGGTGGTCGTGAAGACTCAGTAAAGCCCCTGGCCTGACCCACATGGGGCTCAGGAAGTGGGGGCAGTGGAGTGGGATGGTAAAGAGGGGGCTCTGGAGTCCACACACGTGCTTTAAATCCTAGCTGCCACGATGCCAGTTACCTCTGTACCCTTTGACCTGGTGTCCTTGTTTATAAGATGGGAATAATACTACCTATATCATCGGACCATTATGAAGATGAAATGAGCTCATTTATTATAGAAGGACACAGAAGCAGCCACCATGCTTAGTCTTCCTGGAGCAGAGCTCTAATCCTATCACCTACTCAAAAAATCAAAGGCACCACACTTCCCACTGAATTAAAGTCAGACTTTTTACACTGCTATTCAAGGCAGTCTGGTCCACCGACTCTTCCCCAGACCGTGTCCAACCCTTGTGGGGGAGGCAGTGTATGTGGAAGTTAAGAGGATGGGCTTTGGAAATGACCAAGTCAAGCTGGCCCTTGGCTCTGGGCAAGTGAATTCCTATGAACATTTCTGTATCTCAGTTTTACCTTCCATAAAATGGGGATTATACCAAATGTCTTAGAAAACAGCCTGGTAGTCCATGACCCAGGCCAAACCCAGCTGACCATATGTTTTTGTAAACAAAGCTCTATTGGAACACAGCCACACTCACTTGTCATCTTTAGCTACTCTCATGCCACAGTGGCATGGTTGAGTAGTTGTGACAGAGAGCTTTTGGTTCAAAAAGCTTCAAGTACTTACTATCCAGCTCTTTGAGAAAAGATTGGCCAGTCTATTATGAGGACTGAATGAGATAATAGGCCTACCATGCCAAATGCTCAGTAGTAATAACTATGATCACCTTCAGGAAAACTCAACCTCACACTTCCCCATCTCTGAATTCATGCCACCGTGTCTGCCTGAGTACCTCCACCTGGGTCACCCAGCAAGGCTCAATTCCTAGGTCAGTCCCTCCAAGAAGTCACTCTGGATCTCCCAACTGCATCCCGAGCTGCACATGATGCAGAGATTGTAGATAACGTGGACACTGGCACCACCTTCCCACCCTTCCCGCCAGATGTGGGCAGAGACTAAGTCCCGCCCATCTCTGCCGCTCAGTAGTACCTCCCAAGGTGGAGACACACGGCAGTTGGTAAGTATGTGGTTGCCAGGTTGAGCTGAACAGAGAGAAAGTGGGCAAACCTCTGGGAAACTGATTACAGTTGAGATAAATAAGAATGTAGGCTCTCAGTGAATCCTCAAACCAGAATCTCAAATCTCTTTATTGATTCAAAGAGGAAGGGACAGAGAAAATAAATCACTCCATGGCTCAAGCTCATTAATCAGGACCCATCCAACAAGAATCATTAATTATCTGGAGTTTCCCCCCGTCCCCTCCCCCCCAGCTCTCAACTTTTTAAAGAAGTCACAAGAAAACACATTTATTGTAAGAATCCATTTTCAGGGGCCATGCTAAGCCTGGACATAAGTCAGCCCCATCTCTCTCACTTGCTCCTTCAGTAGCTCATGCAATGAGTGCCATTCTTTGAAGGGAAAATCAACTCACAATATCTGCAGTCAAAGGCTCCATCATATTTGGCACCTCGCAAAAATGCCGCAGTGTGTGTTTCAAAGATAACAGGCAAGGGCTAAAGCATGCAGAGCTTCCTGTCCAAGCTTCGGGGTCCCAGAATCAACTGCTCTTCCAGAGCCTCACGGTCCCCACAGTTCTAGAGACTGGGGTCTGCTGATGCTCCTACCCCGGAGCCCACTGATCCTTGTTCTGTGAACTTCTAGTAGCAATGGAAAAGAAAAAGAACCCCAGAGTAGGAAAGAATACAAGCACCGTTCCCACCTCCAGCTCCAAACCCGACCATTCCAGAGCAAAGCTCTAGAACAATTTCCCACTAGTGTGTGAGGGGCCTTTCACGCTCGGATTCCTTCATCTATCTGCCTCACTCCCCACCCCCTCTAACAGGGGAATCAGTGCGCCAGAAGCCCTCGGTGAGGGAGAGAAGCCGCTGTCAAAGGCTTGAAGAGATAAAAGGGGGAAGGAAGGCGATGACAGCTGAGGAGTGAATTTGGTTTGATTCACTTATTACCCCTGACAGAATTTCAAGGACTGCGTCATTTGTTTGCTTATAACTGCACATCATTCTGTATCACAGAGGCTGCAATCAAAGAGGGAAAATTTTGACAGATCAATTGAAGTAAGAAACCTGATTATTAGTTGTAACAAGAAAACCGATAATAATTGCACTCTGCTAAATCAACGGGGAGAAGAATGTTGCTAAATTTACACTGCAATTAGCCCTCAAGGAAGGGGTGGGGGTAGCATTCTAAGAAACCCAAGAACAATTTCACAAAGCGACTGCACCGCAAGTTGGTGCCATTCACAACTCGGTCATAAATCCAGAC